TCCGCGCGGGGGGGGGGGCCCCCCGGGGGAGCCATTCCCTGTGGCGGCCGTTCTCATAAACGTGGCCAGTCTCATTCGTTCCTTTCCCTGCTCAGTTCTACCCTCTGTGGCTTTTGGTGGCATCTCTCGCTTGTCAGCGAAGCCGTGCTCCAGCGTGGGGTGAGCTGTTCCGTGTCCGTCGCGAGCGCTGGCCGGCATCCACCTCCCCAGCCCTGGTGCTGCCGTTGGGGTTACCGGAGAACACGCGCAGACGTGTTGGCGGTGGCTGCAGATTAGAGTTCAAACCCCGTTCCACGTGAGCTCACACCTGCCGAGCGACGGCGCATTACGCCAACCACCGTCCACAGCTCTCAGACCTGCCCTTCCTGTCTCCCGCAGGGCAAAGGTGAAGAAAGGCGTGCACATCGTCGGGGTGAGAGCCAGCAGCCCTTCCATCTGGGACGTCAAGGAGGGTGCGGGTCACACGGGGAGGTACGCCCCAGCGGTCATCACCTGTCAGAAGAAGTCTGCCGGCTCTGAGGACAGGTGAGTCCCAGCTGGCTGTCTGTGCGACCCGTGGCAGTGCGGCCTGGGTTCCCCCAGGGGGTCGTGGCCGTTTCTGTCTGTCCTCAGCACCTCTGGGGGAGGCAAGTGGAGCCCTCCGTTTGGAAGAGGCACGGCGTCACGTCCCCTGTGACCCAGCTCACTACGGGGACACTCCGCTTCCCACCCACACTGTAGGCGGGCTGAAAGTCTGGGTCCTTTAAAACAGCCCAGTCTGCAGGTGTTAGAGGTGGGGGCTCACAGGTCTCTGCGCGGTGTACTCCGCTTCCACGTTTGCTGCGTCCACCTGAACAAAGTGCGTGTGGTTAGCGTGTGTGGTTGCACGTGTGCACAGACCGTCCCGTCAGCACAGCGAGCTGCCTGCTGTGGAATTTGAGGGACTGTGGCTGGCTCTAGGGAGAATAAAAACCCGAGTCTGTCCGATGCCCGCCAAATTAGAAGCCGTCAGTTCACAGCTGAGCAAAGACATGCATGGAAATCCGGAAGACCTTCGTTGTTTTCATTTTCCCCAAACCTCGTTTGTGGCTCTGGAGAATTCTGTCTGCTCACGTGCTTTCGTCACTTTTAGATTGCTTTTTCCTCTTCATGTTAAATCGGGGAGGTAATGACAGGGCAAATGCAGGTATGTGACACATGGTTCGAGGTGGCTTTCCAGCCACGGCTCAGTGTTTGGGATATGTGCTTGTTTTCCATGGTTTACTCTCACGGAGAGTCGTGAACGTCAGCTGCCGACGGCTCCACATCCTTGCATGTTTGCTGGCTACCAGGTCACATGTAACCAACCCAGGGCCTGAGGGCGTCCCCTCTGGGCTCCGTGCTCACTCGTTGGGGACCTGCTTCATTGGCCACCCTGACCCGTGCCCCTTGGGGTGACTCGTGTTTGGAGGTGGCGGTAAGGAAGCATGAGAACAGAGAGGAGTCTGTCCGAGTCCTGTCCTAACGCTGACCTAGTGACAGCTCGCGCCCTGAGGACCGCCATGTGACAGGCATCCACATGCTCAGCGTGCGTACCGATGACGTGACCGGAGCAGTAAGGTCCCTCGGTGAGAGACTCGTGTCGTTAGGGAAAGCTGGGTAGGGGACACAGATGGATGGACGGACGGGGTGACGGGAGACCGGATGGACGGGTGGACAGTGGGTGCGTGGATGGGTAGACAGCTGATCTTACTCTCTGCAGGAAGAGGGCTGTGGGGACAGGACCTCGCCAACACGCTCTCACCATCTCGTGTCGCCTTCTTGCTGTCTTCTCCCAGGGAGTGTCAGCGATGGAGGTCGTAATGTCTGTGAGCCGTAAAGGGGTTTGAACCATAAGCCTCTAGGACTTTTGTTTATTTCTTTATTTTTTGCTTTTGGACTCCTGAGTAAGAGTTGATTCAGTTCATCTGAAGTTCGGAGGGAAGTGTGCAACTCCCCGGGCAGCCCTTCCCAATTAAAGCGTGAGCTGCCACATTGTGGACCTAGTAGACTCGGGGCTTGTCGGAACTCGGCACCTCCAGAACCTGCCCACACACGTGGCGTCCCTCGTGTGCTTTCCCTCCATCCGAGTCCGCATCTTCTCCCAGCAGCCGCCTCCTGAGTGGAGTATCAGGCTGTCTCTCTGAGTCCTGGCGTCAGAGGCCGTGTTACGGGGGGCGTTTTCCTTATCCGCTCGTAGGCGACGAAGTCAGTTTTCTGTCTCCTACCAGGGGTCCAGAGGCTGGAGGGATGCACGGACACCAGACACACAGCCACAGTACAGTCATGACACGACACCACACAGCATACACAGTGCACGCGTACATATGTGGGTCTGTAACATAGGTGCATGCGTGCTAAATATGTGTGCAAGCATACACAGTGCACGCGTACATATGTGGGTCTGTAACATAGGTGCATGCGTGCTAAATGTGTGTGCAAGCATACACAGTGCACGCGTACATATGTGGGTCTGTAACATATGTGCATGCGTGCTAAATGTGTGTGCAAGCATGTACACTGTGGCTCCCTGAACACACCTGAGTTCATGTGTACGTTCGGAACAGGCTTTCTGTGTGCACCTCTGTGATGATGTGAGGGCCTCACACCACCCCTGGGAGGGCCCTGTGTAGGGAGGAGACTCCAGCGGAAGCTCGGTTAACCTGGGCATCGAGTCTCGTCTGCCATGACACTCCTGCCCTAAGAGCAGCTGCACACGGTGGTCTCTGTAAATGCTCGTTTAATGGACTTGTCGTTACATCACGTCTCTGACGCTAGGCGTTGGGATACAAATCTTTATGCATATAGGCACACGGTCTTGAATATACCTATTCAAAAAGTCGGGTGTAAACAGCGTGCATGCCGCAGCTCTCTTGGGGAAAACACAGAGAAGAGGGTCATCTGAGTGACGATGCCACGAGGGCTGCTCCAAAGATGAAGCTGTGATCCGTACCGCGGAGAGCTTCTCCACTAGAGAGGAGGCTGGAGGGCAGTTGCATTTTACAGTGAACCATTTGGAATATTTGATTTTTTTCTTACAGTATGCATATATTACCTACTTAATAAAATGCATACAATTAAAATCGAGATTTTTTTGAATGTGATGTATCCATTAATATGTTCAACTTTTATCCTCACTTCAGAACTTTCCAGCTTTCTTCTGTCTGTAGGGAGTTAAATGAGGGAACATCCTGCTCCGTTATTTTAGACAGCGCTGGGGCTGGGAGGGGATCTATTTTTTCTTAAGGATAATTAGAAACCAGATACAGAGCAGAGGTTTCAATATGTTAGTTGTTTCTGCTTTAGAGGCTGGGTTTTTGCTTGTTTTCTATAAATAAATTCTTCCTCCTTTTCTTAGAAGTCGGACTCTGATCACTGGAATGCAAGAGCGCTGCTGTAATTAGCTCGAGGTGAGAGCTCTCGTATTGCTGAGCGTGTACCAGGGGTCGGGGGCGTGCTGCTGAAGGCAGCCCTGTGACAGGCGTCACTGTGCGGCTCAAGGACACGCCTGTGCTGGTGGGGCCACAAGAAGAGGCACGGGTCTCTTCCTGTGTGTGGGAGCTGGGCTGCTGCCACGCCGCGTAACCGTACTGGCAGGTGGACATCATCGCGGCCGTCAGCGGGTCTTGGCTGCCGGGCCCAGCACCTATGGAACGGGAGCAGAGCAGCCCTGCTCTGAGCCTCGGCCCCCGTTTTGCACTTTCTGAGTCTCGCTCCCGACAGTGCTACGTCAACTTTGATAGACACGAAGCAAAAGCCTCTTACTTTCACATCCTTCCGGGTCTCCCCGTAGCCGAGCGTTTCCCCGAAGCTTACCTCAGTGGGTACGCAGGTCGTTTAGGTGGCTCGTAGGAGAAAGGGTAACCTGAAGGACAGAAACCTGCATTTTGGGGGCCAGCAGGTGGCGTGGTGGTTGAGGGCGCTGGACGCCCACGTGGCCAACGGCCGTTCAAGTCCCACACCTGGCTGCTTCCTTTCTCACTTTCTCTCGCTTGCTCTCTCTCTCTCTCTCTGGTCAAATTTAAATAAATAAAGTTAAATAAAATAATTTTTTAAGAATCTTGCATTTTCAGGCCTTCCACAAAGCTTGTTGTTGAAAGGAAGTCCTTCTCTCAGGGGCTAAATTGTCTTTAAAACCCCTTTCTTTCTGAGGTAAATAGATTATAGATAAGTAAGAGTATTAGAGTCTTCAAAAGTTGATGGAAAATATGAATTATGATACTAGAGTCTTCAAAAAGTTCATGGAAATGACGAATTATAAAAATACTATGCACAGGTTCAAAATTGTTTTGCATACCAAAAGAAACCTAAAATTCCATTTTATCATGAACTTTTTGAGGTCCTCTGTATGTCACTGACATTTTATTTTTTTCATAATCAACTACTCCATGGAATACTGATTTTCCATTTACTGTAAGTAACACACGTCATTTTAAAACAAGGATGTCTTGCGCAATATCTTGAGCTCCCATAAATAAAAGGTCATTGACATTTCTAAAATAGAACACTGTGGTTAAACCCATAAATGCGCACTCAAGGTTAAGATACACTAGCATCCATAAACATACCTTAAGCTATATTTTTTAGAATTGGGTTTGGTTTAGCTTTCTAAAAAGAAAACAAGAATGGCATGATCAAGATAGAAGTTTGCTTCCTTCTTATGGAAGCTATGAAGTGGATGCAGGGCTGGGGTGGCAGGTCCCCAGGACCCTTAGGGCCCGTAATGACTTTCTCCAATACCATGCTCACATACGACTTACAGCCTCACGGAATAAAATGGCTGCAGGTGTGCCAGTCATTTCACCAGCATTGTCCCTCATAAAAGGGAAAAAAAGTATCTTCTCAGTTGAGTCAACTCTTTTTAAGTAACCTTCCAGAAAACTCGTGCTAAAACCAATTCTCTCTTGTATTTCATTGGTCAAACCCTGACCATGTGTTCAGACCTCAGAGGAAAGTGGGAAACACCTTCATCGCAGACGGGAAGCCCAGTTCAAGATCAATGCCAGCTCCAAAGAGTGAGCAGCAGACTGCGTGGGCTGGAGACCCTCAGGGCTCTATGGTGGCGCTTTATAAGACGTGACAGAGTGGGGTTCCCATGAAATGATGAAAAGGGCATCCCACCACTGACCTCCTTCAGCCCCCCAAGTCGCCCGGAGAGTTTCCAGTGACAAATCCTAAATGCAGAAACCCACACAGACACGGAGCTGGGAAAGTCTGGATGAGGTAGGAGCTCAGAGAAAGGTGTGTGCAGCTGCAGACAGGACTACGGGGCTGGCCGAAGGAGGGTGTAGACAGAGTCTCAGACAGGGACCTGGAGAGTGGAGAGCCAGGCGTGCGAGAATCAGGACTGTCTCCAAACGTGGGCAGCAGGTGCCACGGTGGCCGTGAGCGGGGCTGCCCATTGTGAGCACAGTAAGCTAACTCTGCGCAGGGCCAGGAGACCCAAACAGGCAGGGAACCCCAGGCTGCGAGGAGGAACTGCGGACAGCCTCGAAAAGTCCGACAGGCCAAACGTCCCACGTGGAAGG